CAGCCGGAAACGGTCTTGTAGTAGTTTATGACCGTTCGACCTAGTCGTCATCGCTTGGGGCGCTCTGGTGAACAAATGTTGAAGGGCAACCAGCACGGGTTCATAGCAGGTAGATCCTGCCTGACTAACCTTGTTTCTTTTTATGACCAGGTCACAAAATGTTTAGATGCAGGACGAGGTAGATGTAATCTCCTTGGATTTTAAGAAAGCCCTTGACACGCTATCTCATCGTATTCTCAAAAATAAACTGAGTGGCTGTGACATAGATGATTACACAGTCATGTGGGTGGCAAATTGGCTTAGTGGTCACACCCAGAGAGTGGTTGTGGATGGGCTGGCATCAACCTGAAAAGATTTGAGCAGTGGAGCTCTCCAAGGTTCAGTCCTTGGACCCATGTTGTTCAATGTCTTCATCAGTGACTTGGAGGAGGGCATGGAGAGCACTCTGTCCAAATTTGCAGATGACACCAAATTATTGGGTAAAGTAAACACACTAGTGGACAGGGAACACATCAAGGCAGATCTGGACAGTGTGGAGAAGTGGGCAGAACAGAATAAGATGCAATTCAACAAGGACAAATGCAGAGTGCTTCACCTAGGTTGAAGGAATCACCAACACACTTACAAGCGGGAGGTGACCTTCTGAGCAGCACCATAGCAGAAAGAGATCTCAGATTCATGGTTGATTCCAAACTAACATGAGTCATCAATGTGATGAAGTGACTAGTACTTCTAGCTGCACTTTATCATGCATTAGCAGATGCATTACAAACAGGTCCAGGGATTTCCCCTTTATGTGGCACTGGTGAGGCCGCAGCTGGAGCACTGTGTCCAGTTTTGGGTGCTGTACTTCAAGAGGGATGTGGATTTCCTTGAGAGGGTCCAGAGGAGGGTTAGGGGCCTGCAGGTAAGGCCCTACAAAGAGAGATTGAGGGACCTGAATCTCTTCAGCCTCCACAAGAAAAGGCTGAGAGGTGATTTTGTGACCATCTACAAATTCAATGGGGTGCGACAGCAAAGGGTAGGAGATGCTCTGTTTACCAGGGCACCCCTTGGAGTAACTAGAAATAACAGCCACAAAGTGACAGTGAGCAGATTCAGGTTAGACATCAGGAAGAACTTCTTTATGGTAAGAGTTGCCAGAATCTGGAATGGGCTTCCAAGGGAGGTGGTGCTCTTCCCTACCTTGGGGGTCTGTAAGAGGAGACTGGACAAGCACCTGGCTGGGGTCATATGACCCCAGTACTCTTTCCTGCGCATGGCAGGGGGTCAGACTCGATGATCTGCTGAGGTCCCTTCCGATTCTAATATCTATGAATCTATGAATTGTTAGCCACAGCTGTAGCAGCTAATAATAGGCATATAAAATCATTTGGTTGCAATCTCAGTCATGGAGAAATGATCTTTTCTCCATAGCACATCCAAAACCAGAGGCATGATACATTTTAGGTATCTCCGCATGACATTTTGAATGGTGCTGTAATAGAATGTGTCAGGATGGAAAGAGGCAAAAGATTCAAGCAGTCTATGGGTTAAGCTTTAAAACTCAAAACCAGTTCTTTTGTTGTCTGAAGAGGTTGATCTTGTTTTTATGAAGTTCCCTAATGGTAAGACTATTTCATGATACTCTGTCTCAGATAACCTTCCCTCCCCCAAACTTATTACCAGTCAGCTGTGATTGATGACAGCTCTTAAGAGTCCCCACACCTGAAATCGATGCACACACATTTTCACTCTAGGATATTGATGATGCTTTGATTATCCCCAACACGGGTAGCTGCAAGATGCCACTTCAATCTTTGCTTTGCTCCATCACATGGCGAGTCTTTCACAGCTGCTCTGCACTTCTAGCACTGTTAATCATGAAACTCCACACACTACCATGTGGGTTCAATAGCAGGGAATTAGCACAGAGTGAAAAGGGCTCTTTAAAACCACAGCTGGGCCAACCCCTGAGGGTCATATTCAGGCTGCTGATGGGCTAAACTTAGAAGGTTTTGTTTGGATGGCAATAGTTAGTGTATTCCATGGGAGGGGAGATCAAAGCACTTTACAGACATTAACTGATTCCTGTGATCACATCTTCAGTATTCACAAATCAAACATGTAGAAGTATCTTTCATTTGTAAATTTCATGAGAAGGAAATCTCATGAAATTGGATTTTCCTGTGAGATTTATCCCTTGCCCCCACTTCCACAAAGGCAGGAAATAGCATGGGCATGTAGCAGCAAGAAATAGAATTGTCATAGCTGACCAACAAAGCTGTTTACTTGTAGATGTGTGAATACTTCACTAATCATAATAATCACTGACAGAGACTCTGGGAGAGGATAGTTAAAGGATTAGTCACAGGAGTGATTTGATAACAATAATGCATATATGCAAACCAGCTGACTGAGCTATGATGGTAAAATCAAAACTAATGGGAGCTCTCATTTTTGCTCCATCTTCATTATCATTATTATTTATTGGGTGCTTGGCACCACACAACGCACAGTGGATGATATGTCAAGGCCTGGTATTCTAAAGGACTATGTTATGACTGTAAGAGGAAGTGGCTTAGTGGGGTTGAAGAGAAACACTGCCTAAACAGATGTTGGTAGCTGGAGGGTAATACTTTCAAAGCCACAGGGAGGAATTGCAATCAGAAATGACTCTAGAATGACCCTTGCATGGAACTGAACTTTTTAAATATGGGGCTGCGGGGCTACAGTGGCAGATCCTGGGAGGTTCCTACACCACCCACACTTTAAAACCAACTGTTTAGCAGTGGCAGCAGCATTTCTAGAATGGCAATGCTGAGGGAGTCAATTGACTTCATGGTTGATTATAATCTATCCGGCCCCTTATGAATTCTTCATTCCACAAGTGTTAACAACCCTCTCTTCTTTTTAATAGTCTAGATGTTCCACCAATCAAACTAGCTTTTGTTCTGCAATGTTACTGTGTGTTAGCTGCTCCTGAGAATGAAGTGCCTGGTTCACAACCCTGCCAGTTGTTTTTAACTCATTCTGATGAAGTTATATTTGTTTTGGTTTCAACCTTAGGCTAGATACTACAGGCCTAGGCCACTAGTGCATTACTAAAGCTTCTAGTTTATTTTTAACTGGAGAAAAATATGTTATTGTATATGTGATGATGATGCACCTCACCATGTAGACCCCTCTTTTCAAAATTCTAAATCCACCCATGCAGAGCTATTGAGGATACCTGAGACCCCTTCAGTAACTCAGTTATGTCAGTGCAGAATGTATTAGCTATGACCTGTGGGGCTGCTGTATTTTCCAGGCTTCTCCGAGTGAGGTTTATTCTCTGCATTAAGTGTTCTAAAAACATGGGCCACATCTTCAGCTAGGGTCAGACTACATGGACGGGATAACTGTACATGTAAAGGTGGTTTTAGGCATTGCCCTCATCCTCTTGCTCTCCATGTAGTCTGGCCCCCCTATGTTTTGACAGACAAGCCTGTGGACTGCTTTTATTTCAGCTGGCTTCAGTGTCTACAGAAGGGCAAGAAAGCAGCTGAGGATTGGCGTGGTTTTAGAGCATGTCAGACATGCTTTTCCTCTTTTCACTGTTATACCTCACAGTAGCAGGTTGAGCTATATAAGTGGCCCTGTGGCTCCTCCTCTGACAGTGTTAGGTATATATGAGAATCAGGCCCTCTATATTTAATTTGCCTTGCCTTTGACAATTCCAAACCAGCCTGTTGTTGTGTGAACATATGGAGATAAAAATACAAAAGATACACGTCAGTGAACTATTTGCAAAACACATGAAGAAGGCATATTGCACATTTGGGGGCCAGACCCTGTTCCACCTATCAGGCAAATAAGTAGACCTAGGTGCCTAAGGGTGATTCTTTTCCACCCTGCTTCAGTCCCTGAAAAACAGTTAATGTAAAAGCTATGTCATACCTCCTCCTCATTCTTTTTTTTATCATTCAGTCTTAAACATAAGATGATATGTTAGGACATGGATGCAATATTGGATTTTTAGGGACTTGAACAAGGTGGAATAGAATTGCACATAAGCACTTGAGTCCACTTAAACACCCAGTTGGTAGAAAAGAAGCTAGCCCTTTGTGCTTTCAGTTACATCAGGGTGCAGTGAATGCAAAATGGGTGTGCAACACTGCCATTCTGATCTGGTCATTTTGTATGTGGCATTGCTCTAGTGTTACCCATGTGTAATATAATTTCTGTACACAATGACCTGCTTTGCAAGCATCACTTTGACACTTATCATTTTGGTTTTTTTATATCATGCTCATTTGCTGCAATAGTATTTGGTTTTGAGTAACTTTCAAAAATAGCTTTTCTCATCCACCTCCTCGTCTCCCCACCTCTTCTCACAGCTCTCATTGCCAGTGCAGATCCTTATTTTCCAGTGTGACTGAGAAACATGGTCACACAGAGAAATTTCTGGTAGAACAGATCTTTGCACTTAAAGGAACCATCCTGCATAAAGTGGGGGGAGATATAAATAGCTGACTGCTTGCCACCAGTGCTCAGGGAGTAGCAATCCAAATGCAAGTTCTTCTCTTTTGCTGAAATCACAATTTAAACTACATCCTCACGTGATAAGGCAAAAGGCCAAGCATCCGTGTAACAAAATCAAGACTGCCAGACCTGAACTCAGAAGGAAGAAGAGCAGTTTTGCAGACTCAGTTAGCACTGATTCATAGAAGCCCAGGCTCTTCTACCCAAGATGTTCACCCAGCTTTGTTTATGCCACACTCATGATTCAAACACACTGGGAGAAAGTGGCCATAGTGTTTTTTCCTATTGGTTTGTGTTTCCTCCTGTAAGTACCAGAGAGATGAACCAGAAGAAAAACCTTAATTCTGAAGATCCCTGAAGTTCAGTGAAGTTCATCTCCAGGCCTGAATTGCATAGCTCAGACCCACCTCTACCAGTAATCAACAAACTGTTCTTATACCTGTTTCCCATTACATTTTAATCTAATTTCCTCCTTCTCTCTCTTTTTTCTTTTTAAGGATGATCCCTGCTACAAACAAAGCCTTTGTGGTGAACAATCTTGTTTCGGGAACAAACTATGACCTCTGTGTCTTAGCCATGTGGGATGACACTGCCACGACCCTCACTGCTACCAACATTGTGGGATGTGCCCAGTTCTTCACCAAAGAGGACTATCCTCAGTGCCAGTCCATGCACAGCCATTTTCTGGGGGGGACGATGATCTTGGTCATAGGAGGCATAATTGTGGCAACTTTGCTGGTGTTTATTGTCATACTCATGGTCCGGTACAAGGTTTGCAACAATTCCCAGGGGAAGATGGCCAATGTCAGCAATGTCTACTCGCAAACGAATGGAGCACAACCTGTTCAAAATGGGGTCCTGCCCCAAGTCAACCCAAAAGTGGTGGTGAGAAATGAACTCATGGAATTTAACTGTGAGTCTGCACGAAGCAGCATTTCCTCTTCGTCTAGTTCTGTGAATAGCCGCGACTGTGATGACTATAGCCTTCAAAGTGAACAGGGCACATTGTCCAGTAAGTGGAGGCCCCCTTCTAGGTCAAAACACAACATTGACCGGCTAATGGGAGCTTTTGCCTCCCTGGAATTGAAGTGTCAGAAAAAGGAGGATACGATAGACTCCAGAACTTCCACAGTGGCCCACCATTCGGACAGAGAGCCACTTCTGGGCCAGCATGAGTCCAAATTCCGTAGCCTCCTCACATTACCTCTGGAAGGTAAAACTAAACGTAGCCATTCTTTTGACATGGGGGACTTTGCCACATCCCAGTGTTGCACCTACCCAAGAAGGATCACAAACATTTGGACAAAGCGAAGCCTCTCGGTCAACGGCATGCTTTTGCAGTATGATGACAATGACCTACCAGGGGCAAAAGGGACTTATGGGAGCTCAGAATGGGTAATGGAAAGCACGGTGTAAATAAGAGCTTCTCCCCCTCTCTTCTTACTGCAAGTGTAATAAGGTTTGGTTTTGTTGAAAGGCCATAAATATGAAAAGGGGAGGAAAAAAACATTCTCAACCTCATTGGCCAAAAGTAGAATAAAATAAATAAAATAAAAGAGAAAGGAAAAAAAGAAAATAGGCAAATAAAATGGGATAATAGAGGAAAAAGATAATGAAATGCTAATAAGCATGTATGGTGTCACTAATGTCTGGCTCTGAAAAAAAACGTGTGAATACTTCAAGGAATTTACTAGTTGTATTTAGCATTGCTTTCCAAAAGTTTCCTGGCCTCTCAGTGAACCATCAAACAAGATTATCGTAAATGAAGTTTAAAGTGGGTATAGCAGCATATATGTGATTCAAAGTTGTTGGGTTTTTTTCCCCCTTTCCTTTTTGGTAACTTGAGAAAGATACTCCCATGGATAGAAGACTAATGCAAGATTGTTACCTTCTGTCATTGCAAGTGTTTCTTGCCGCAAAACTACAGTCAGGTCATCCATAGGACAAAAAACAGATTCACTTTTTGGCTTAATCTCTTGGTGTTAACAGCTACATATGAAGAATTTTCATTCTTGTTCTTGGGTTGGGAATTTTTCTTGTTTGTTCTTGTTATTTTTTCAGGAGAAATGGTGTTTCCTTTCTTTTTTTCTTTTAGTTTTTATTCTCTCAAGTCCCTCTGTTATAACCAGGGATGCGTACAAAGATCAAACTTTTGATGTAATGTATAGCCCACCTCCAAAACCTTCCCTTATGTCCAAGGAAAATAAAATCTAGGGGTTAATATATATTTTTTTTAATAATCATTTTTCTTCCATCTCCCTCACAGTTTCTGCTTGTCAGTGCACAAGGCAGATTTCAGTGGTTGCTGGTATCTGTGAGGGTTTTGCTGTCAGAGACTGGGGAAAAAAGTCAAGATTTCATATCAAAAGAAAGAGAGAGGAAAAACATAAGCTGCTCTGGTGAACTCTCCACATTATTAATACAAATTGCTTCTGGCAAAAGTTATTTTATCTCTCTCTCTGTTCAACTGACAAAGAAAATGCAGACTTTCACTATATTGTGACAAAAAGCTCTCTATTGCCACAACAGGGCATGATGATATCAGTAATATCACAGGAAGTGCAGGTTTCTGACCATTTCAGGAGATTTATAGTATAATGGTTATGTTTTGAATTAGCCACGGAAAATAAACTATATTTGGATGTTTTTGAATGGGTGGGCTCCCAAGTGTCACCTGCATCCTGCCCTTCCTCTATGCCGTAAACATGCTCAAATCTGTTTCTCTCTCTTGCTATGGTACCTTTTAAGAACAGCAGTTCTTTGTGGCTTTAAAACTGATTTTCAAGTTCCTTTTTGGAGAACATTGCCACGGTTCTGGGAATGCTGTGGATACGCATGGTTTGTCCACTTGATTACACTCTCCTCAGAGACTTGACTGTGATTTCCAGCATTTTGGCGGCTACAGCAATTGTGTTTGATTTAATTTGTTTACTTATGTATTTGTTCCCAATGATCTGGCTGCTGGAAAATGTCAAACAATTATTTTGTAAAAGATGTAGGGAGAAAGGTTGTATGATGCAAAGGAAAAACACACAAAAACTCTATGTATATTTTTTTTAAAGGCTCAGAGATATATTGTGACATGGCTGTGTACTTGATCTTGTATTCGTCATGTTTCCTACCTGGAGTTTTAGAAAATGACATCCCTGTGATCAGAATATTTTTTTTTCCTTTAATTTCTTTTTTGCTACAAAATGTACAGTAAAAAAAAACATCCTTGGGAAAAAGAACACTTCCTTTTCATTTATTTAAATGTTCTGTGGTCTTCTTTAAAATTGACACAAGGAGCAGTTATTGTTAAGAACTAGTAACCTTGATATTCCACATTCAATCTCTTACTCTCTCAAAACTCCCACTGACTTGAGTGCAGCCAGAATTTTACCTGTAAGGTAGGATTCAACTCAGCTCCCCATAAAATACATGAGAAAAATGTTGTAAAATAAGAATTGTTCTTTTTTATTTTTGAAAGGTTTATTTTACACTGGTGTAAAGTGCTGATCCAAGGCCCACTGAAATCAGGGGAAATCATTCCATTGATTTTAATAGGCTTTAGGTTGTGCCCTACATTACCAAGCTGATCTCATCAAAACTTAGTTTTCAACAGTGTTGACAGCCTGCTTTTTTTGTGCCTCAAGTGGAAGCTTCATTGCTCAAATCTTAATCTACATCAGCCAACTGTCCAGATGGCAGCTTCATATCAATTGTTAATTATACTTTACTTTAAAATTGTATTTAAGACTCTTGACAAATTTTGCCTAGTGATTTACTTTTCTTTGTTATTGCATGTAGTGGTAAGACTATTTTTATTACATGGCTGTTTCCCTTTACACAAGGCAGCTGGGTTGCTTCTAATTCAGCTGTTGATTTCATTTTCAATATTAGAAGTAGATACTATCATAAAAATTCAAGCTTAAAACCCAACACACTCATCTTTACTGAAGAGGAAAAACTATGTTCTATTTTTGCACTCCTGATTAGAGAAAGTAACTCAACAGATGCTCTCTTAAAGAAAAGGATTCCTGTCAGAGGACCCAGGTATTAAAATCCCAAATCTAACAGCTAGAATGTTTATTATTTTTAATTATGATTTTTATTCTTTTGGCACTAAAGGATTTGATTCAGTCTATGACAACAAATTTGCAAATACCACTTAATAGGTAAACTAAACCTTCACCCTTATCATCTTGTCAGATCTCAAGAAGGCAGGAAGGGACAGTAGTTGGTGCAGAGATCACTGAGGAATTCTTAAGGTATATCTACACTGATATTTAGGATCAGTCCTGAAAGTCTGTCACCCTAAACTAGCCCACACTGCTGAGCCAGTCTGTATCTTACCTGGAGGCCTATACCAAAGGCATGTACATAACAGGCATTACATAGAGGGGGGTGGTTGCTTTGCCAATGCTTCCAGGCTTTTGCTGGTTGCCACGTGATGTAGGTACCGTTGCTACAGGTGTGGGGAGAGAAAGGGGTTCATCTTCCTGAGAGGCAAGATGGAAGAGGCTTGGTTGGAGCCAAGGCTCAGAATTAAAAAAAAACAAAACAGCAAAAGAAAACGGCGCTTTACTTTAAACTTGGTGTGCTCCTGCACTGAGTCTAGCACATGCCCAGAAGAGGCTGTGCCTTAGCTGGACCCAGCTCACATGGTGTTTATATAGATTGGGCACTTTAGTGGGGCTTTTTTGGCATTTTTATCTAATAGTTGATTGAATCAGCTTTAGAAAAAGCAACAAAAAGCCCCACTGAAGCACCCAATCTATATAGACTCTGTAGAGCAGGGTTGAACTAATATGCTGCTTCTTCCAGTAAAGCACAGTTTTTTGTTTTTCTTTATTATCAATAAACAGCCTGGGGTGTACTGATAATCCTGCTGGGACTTATACAAAAACCCCAGAGTTTCCTGGCTAGAGTCTTGTCCCTCTTTTCAGGGTGTGACCAATTGGCACATTTAGGATCAGGAAGGAATTTTACCTTATGGTCAGATTGGCATGGACTGCGGCATAGTCCTCTTCCTTGGATCTCCCTAGTAGCTTTAGTAGGAGTGTTACCAGCAGATTGAGGGAAGTGATTTTCTCCTTTATTTGGCACTGGTGCAGCAACATCTGGAGTACTGTGTCCAGTTTTGAGCCCCCCCCCACTACAGTAGGGATGCTGAAAAATTGGAGGAAGTTCAGCGGCGGGCAATGAAAATGGTTAGAGGTCTGGGAAATGTGACTTATGAGGAGAGGCTGAGGAAACTGGGCTCTTTTAGTCTGTGGAAAAGAAGAGTGAGGTGGGATTTAATAGCAGCCTTCAACCACCTGAACGGTGGGTCCAAAGAGGATGGAGCTGGACTGTACTCAGTGATGCCAGGTGACCAACAAGGAACAGTGGTCTCAAGTTGCAGCAAGGGAAGTGTAGGTTAGATATTAGGAAAATCTTTCTCTAGGAGGGTAGTAAAACACTGGAACGGGTTACCCAGAGAGGTCATGGAATTTCCATCATTGGAGGTTTTTAAGACTTGGCTAGACAAAACCTTGGCTGGGATGAGATACTTGGGGATGGTCTTGTTTGAGTAAGGGGTTGGATTAGATGAACTCCTGAGGTGCTTCCAACCCTCATTTTCTATGATTCTATGACTGTGCCTGGTAATTGTGGAAGGGTTGCTCATGTAATTTTAAGAATACGTTAGACTAGTGGTGCTCAATCTTCCGGCCTTATGGGCTAGATGAGTGGCATGGAGTCAGTCTGTGTGCATCCTGTGTGCAACATCTCTTGTGCTTGGTCAGTCCATGTGTGCAACTGGCCATGCCCCTGCCTGACCCTACGCATGAGTTAATCCTCCACGTCATATCTGCCTGTGTGTCAGCCTGACCCCATGAATAGATCAATCCCGGGTAAAGGATTCAATCATGGAGTGACCTAACACGCTGGACCCACTGCACACTGGTGTGATCTAGAACACTGAGCCATCATCCAGCTTGAAGAGATCCCCATATGTCCAAACATTTGGAAGCAGAGGAGTAGTAATACGTACTGCCACTGCTACCCTACCACCAAATTTTTGAACCTGTGGGAAGACCCATGAGTGAGGTGACATGGTTCTGTGTGCTGGATCAAGCCCATGAGTTGGAGATTGAGCACCACTGGCTTAGACAAACACTTCTATAGGATGACTTTGACAAGGAAGATCCTGACCTGAGCAGGGGGTTGGAGTGGATGACCTCCTGAGATCCACTCCAGTCCTACATTTCTATGATTCTGTGCTTTTTGTTCTTTGACCCATCCTCTTCTAGGGCATGAAATCAGGAACTGGAAGCTGATTTCCATTAATGGACCTTCTGTACTTGCAGCCATCAGTCCAAATGCACTGGAAGGCATGGTGAATGAGAAGATAAGTAGAGCCTATACCCAAGAGCTTAGTAGAGCATCTATGATCCAGCTAGACTGCTGCTAGGTATTTGAGATTGGGGTTCACTGTGTAGCTGATCAAAAAGTACAGGCTTAAGGGCAGCCTTAAAGTCTACCTTAATGAGCATTGTACTTAAACCCTTAGGTGTTGCAGGAACTTGTGCTGAT